AATTTCTCTCTCTCTCTCTCTCTCTCTCTCTCTCTCATTCTTTCTCTCTCTCTCTCTCTCACATACACACACACACACACCCCCACACCCCCCCCACACACACACACTATCTCTCTTTCCATCTCTCTTAGTTCCTGGATGAAAAATGATCATCTCTTTTTTCATATCCTCTCCTCTTTTTTCTCTCTTCTGTCCATTCTACCCCGAACTACCATCCACCCATTGTCAGGGAGAACATCTTAAACAGGCGGTCTCTTTGAACAGTGTTTTAATAATAAGGCAAAATGCTGGAGGGGGAGGGGGTGTCATGTGATCATCTTGAAAAGGTGGTCACTAGAGCAGGCTCGAATGTAGGCTATTGTTTTTAATCTATGCGGACAATGTCATCAAAAAACTGTGAGGCAGACATATTTGTTCTCAAACAACAATCTCACAGACGACAGTTTTTCCACTGTCCTGCCTCCTCTAAACCAATACCATTCGTCTTTGGGTCGAAATATTGCGCATTTATTTCCGCATCCAGATATCCAATTGGCTCATTTATTTGTGCGTTTGACTAGTTTTGAGCCACCAGTCTGCGCCGATTTAGGCTTAATCTAGATTAATCTGAGGACAATGAAATCAAACTACATCTCCCACGGGCCAGAGATAACGCAATCTGCGATCACGTTCTTCGAGATCCGAGACGAGAAATTCATTTTTGATGGGCGTTACTGAATCCGTGAGCCTGACGAAAGAATAGTCTTTTCGACTGAGCAAACAAGGAGAAGTGTCTTTTGCGATGATTGAATTAGTAGTAATTAATGGTTTTAATGAAATTATTATTTGATATTTCTGTCTGATTCTAGTGATACGGCTGTGCCATAGAATGTGCAGAAAGACAAAGTAGTAGAAGAATTGTGTACTCCCATTGTTTGAGACCCCTCCAGCACTCAACCTCTTAAAACGAAGAACACTCAGTGGTTGCAGCTGTACTTTCGCTATCTTTTTCTCTTTTCAGAGCAAAATATTGAGAGAAGAAAAAGGTCGATAAAACAAAAGGAAAAGATGAGACGATCTTTTTTTTTTTTACAAGTGAAGAATGGACGCGTCGTGATGTGCTGAACAAAATGCGCGCCATCGGTACCAGACAACAAAGGGGAAACAGGGAAAATTAGGGGGGGGGGTGGTAGTGGGGTGGTAGTCAGATTTCACAAAGTGGATTCATTTAAGGGGATTGTGACGTTGATTGCTTTGTTAAGTTCAAAGAAATTCATAATGCTATATAAATTCTTCGACGACAGCTAAGCTTAAATTTCTTGGGCAGCTAGCGGACTTCTTTCTAGTAAAAGCGATTAAAAGTTATAATATATACAAAACTTGTGCCATCATATTTAACATAAGGGGGAATTTTAAACGCTTGGTTGCTCGGGACTATTCACAGGCCATAAAAAACAATTATCCTCACTAGGTACAACACTGATACACACAATAATTGGTTTACTTTCGCGTTTCACGAAATACATTGGTCTAGTTTTTTCCCCTTCTAAATCTTAATCCTAGATTCGGCTGAATACTTGCTAGATCTATTCCAAAGCGACATCCCCTGCCCCAGACTCTGGGAGACTCACTCACCAGGTCCCCACACAATATCAGAGTTATCCCCTCGTGCATATTTCACTCACACTACAGGCTTCTTACCCGAGATTGTCGTTAGTACCCGCGCACAACCGTTATCTGACTCACAAAGAGAACCCTCAGGGGGAAAAGGGGGGCAGGGGGTGGGTGGGGCTGGGAATGGGAGGGGGTGGTCAGAAGAAAATGCAGGAATAAGA